AACTGAAGTGCAATATGCTCCCCATTAGTTACCAGCTTTCCTGGTCTGATTGCGTAGTCACCAAGCCAGATTTCCTTTCTTTATTGATATTGGGAAGGAGATAAAGAGGGTGCTTTAGATAAGGAACACAAGCTTTATGGCCATTGCAAAGTAGTATATCCCTATTGTAAAATAATACATTAGCAATCAATGTGGTATATCAGTTTTGTGAGAATTCTGTTGGCATGAGTCCATTGCTGAAAGCCTGGGTATGCTGAGAAAATTCAGTTTCTGGACCTGAAGCCTGAGGACCAAACTCTAGACTTAATGATTTGTTGATCCACCAGCCAATGAGAGATCCAACCTGGCACATACCTTTTCGGAACATCCTCATTACCTAACAATGGTGTTTAAATATTGCCAAGACAACTGGTTGCTTTGGTTAATTTAATTAGTTGATCATTTTGGATAATTTAGTCAAGCTAATTGTAGGAGAGGGAAAAATTCTTCTACGCTCTTAGGTTCAGTGGCTGGGGCTGCAAAATTAACTGACAAAAGACAGATGAAGTAGAAAAAACAGAGTTTATTAACATGTGTATTGTGTATACACTTGGGAGAACTCAGTGATGAGTAACTCAAAGGGGTGGGCAGAACCTGGGCTTATATAGCATCTTAACAAAGAACAATAAATTTGTAGCAAAGTGACAGGACAAAAAAAAGGGGGTTGGAGGCTGGCCGGGTGACCCAGTGATTAAGTTCGCGCGCTCTGCTTCTGCGGCCCAGGGTTTCACTGGTTTGGATCCTCTGCACGGACATGGCACTGCTCATCAAGCCATGCTGAGGTGGCATCCCACATGCCACAACTAGAAGGACCCACGACTAAAAAAATATATACAACTATGTACCTGGGGGCTTTGGGGAGAAAAAGGAAAAATAAAATCTTTAACAACAAAAAAAGGGGGTTTAGGCTTTTAGAGTGGTAAACTGTGGGAAGGTAAATATATGGGGGAGACTAATAGAAGATAAGGATTATTTAGTAAGATTTGTTATGTAGATGCCTCCTGGTGCTCATCTCTGGGCGGACAAGAATCTAAAGTTCTCTCCTGATCATTAAGAGTCTTGTCCTTCCTGGTAAAAGAAAGGGAGACATATTTACAAATTTGCATCCTGCTTTTAGGCAAACAGGGGGAGGGCAGAGAGTTTTTCTTGTAACTGCTTCTTCTTGATTGTCTTTACACCAAAGTGGCATGTTGTGAGGTGGCGTATTCTGATACTCTACATAATCAATTTAGTCAGATGAGTAGGGGAAAACGTCAGATCGATTAGCTGATATTTTGAATATGAAACAAAAGTATAGAAAATTTTCCATTTTTTATTTTTCAACCAGTTGGGATACGTAGCATTGGGATGCTATTTGGTAGAACTAGGGTGCCTTCTGTGTGATCCTGGTCTGAACATGATGCTCAGGCCCGCAGGTGCCTTTAGGGCAAAGGGAATAGGAACTCTTCCTTCTCCTTATGTTCTTGGGACCCGATTCAGCTGGAAGCAACTGGTCTCAGGAATGTACTGAGTCAGACATCTTCTCATCCCCTGCATGGATTCCATCTTGTTAACTGATTTAATAGTCCTCCCAGCAACCTCTCTGTGATGCCTAGGCAGACAGTTAATTTGTTGCAAATAATCACTCATGTTGGCCATTTTACTGAATTTTTAGGCTGGTTTCTACAGAATGGTCTATCTGATTGTTAGCTCTGAATAGAAGACCTTATGTTTTTTCTCACTTGCTTTCATCCTGACGTTCCTATTCTCGTTATACTGGAAACTAAAGAATCTGCAAAGAGTATCAATAATGCATAATCTCTTAATTATTCTCCTTTTAGGGACTCCCAGGTTTGAAAAAGTCTAGTGGCAATTAAAGTAAGGCTTCCCTGTGGGTAAGTGAATTGAGGAAAGATTCATATTAAGTATGTACGGTATTTGAGCGTGTGTGTGTGTGTGTGTGTGTTGAAGTTAGGAAAAGTGGAAATGCTGGCGGTCTGGACAGGGACTCAGAGAGGTGGTCAAGGTGGGAAAAAATTAAAATGACTCTGAAAACCTTAAATTAAAAAGGAAGGCCCATATAGGTTTAATAGTCCCATGATTTGTACCTCTAATCCTCACCTTTGTAACCTGGACACGTATATCCAGACTTTTGCATTTAATAATTCCTTTTCTCCTTCAAATCTCATTTGTATGTGTGAGTGGGGGTGAGAGGAACAAATAAAATTTTTTCTGAACCCTGTATCCTTCTAGCAGAGGAGAAATTCCCCTCAAGAGCATGCTTTTTTTTTTTTTTAAAACCTAGTCCTTTAAATTTTACTGTTAAGTAATCTCACAATAAATAACAGGTATTCACTAGGAAAAAATTTAGTTTAATGTGGTTTACTATTCTTTATTTTGCTAACCAAACTGCACTTGTCCTGAAGAACTTCTTAATTTATTCAAACGACCTGAGGCTTTTTAAGTCAATCTTTTAGCAGAAAAATTACCCTGTGCCCCCAGGAGAGTGAATTTTTTTATGTTGTTCTGCTTCCCATGACTGACATTTATTTGACTCTCAAATGTATTTACCCTGTTGGCTTAACTTGGAGTCCTCTGCTGAATCAATAATATGCTGTATTTTCTTGCTTCAAGTGGTGTCAATATTATTGTTCTTTTTTTTTTCTCTTTTCCCTTAACTCCCTGCAGTTACAAAGTTTTCCTTTGACTTGTGAAAATTTTTACTCCTAAAATTATGAAGAAACAGAGCAAATATCTTTTTAATCTTCTGGGAAATGTGTGCCTCTTTAAACTTTATTTACGTCAGAACTTACTGTAATGAAGGACCAAAGCTCTAGACAAGGTCTCCTGCTCCTTGGGGGTGTTCAAAGCTGGGTCTCCTGGAGGCCGGCCTGCAGTTTGTTCTCAGAACTTTATAGCTCACCTCCTGGCTGTCTTTGCAAGGGGCACGAGAGGGGGCTAGAAATAGAGCAGGGTGGGAATCTGACCCATCGTGACCACTCAGGAGGTTCTGGCCTGGAAAATTCCCCTGTATGTGGCAAAAACAAACATTTGAAATGGAGGGAGAAACCAGGCTTAAACAGAGAGTGAAACCAGTTCCCATTTCAACTCTCCTGCCGATAACCATATGTGCCCGCTCATTTGTTTCCAAAACATCGGTTTTCCATCATTTGGACAGAGCCTCAACCTGAATCTGTCCAGAGCACAGAAGGCAAATATTTCAAGATTTAATAAAATGGTGTGTATGTATATTAGGAGCACTTTCTCAATGTTCAAACCCAGTCTACCAAAAGAAACATTAAAATGGGGTTATGCAAACCTTTGAATCCTACTATATTTTGCAGGCAACGGTCGCCTCTTCTTACTGTTCCCATCTGCCTGTGTGCTGTAGGATTGACTTCAATATTAATGGAGAAACAGACAAATGTCAAAAGCCATCTGCTTTGTCTCATGTCATTTGTAATTTTGCCTTCTGTCCCTCACCCTCACTTCTTCTTCCTTGCTCTCCTTCTACTGGACTGGTGACTTAGATTACTGGCTCAGATCCTGCCCCCCTCCACCAACAGCTGGAAGCATGGATAGGCACCATCTCACTGCTATCAGAAAAACACGATCCATAGAAATAACTGGAATCCTTATACCCATTTAAGTGTCCTGGGTTCTCTGGTTTTCTGTCCTCACTGTAGTAAACTATCCGGTCACACATTTCACCTACCTGTGGTCTCCATTTTGGGAATAAAGTTAAGAGAAATATTTTCTCCCATTGAACAATCCTTTAAAGTCTTTCCCCTTTTTAGCGCTTTTGTAACAGCTTATGAATGGTGAGCAGTGGCTTCCTGTAAATATTGCATGTTTTCTTTTTCCAGGACTAAGGGTGAGATTAAAGGACCAGCTAGTGCTCCCTGCCATAGTGTGGAGGTTAAGAGTGTCGGCTCTGACATTAGATTGCCTTGCTTTAAATTCAAATGTCCTTATTTAATAGCTATGTGACCTCAGGAAAGTGATATAAACTCTGTGAACCCTAGTTTCCTGATCTATAAAATGGAAGTACTATTATAGTATATACCAGCACCTACTGTGTTCTAGGCATAGTTTTAAGCACTTTAAATATATTAGCTCATTTAAATTTCATAACTCCACGATGTAAGTAATTAACATCATCCCCATTTCTCAGATGAGAAAACTGAGACACGAAGAAACAAGTATCTTGGCTAAGGTCATAGAATTAATAAGTGGTTTGCTGATCTTGTGAAGCCATGTAGTTGGATCCCAGAGGCCGTGTACCTTCCAGTATGCGCTACTATGCCTCTCTATTAAATTATTGAGTAGAAAGCGCTTAGCACAGTGTTTGGCACATAGCATTTATTGTCAGCTAGTATTGTCACTACCATCACTTGTTCTCATCCTGTTCCTTTTGTCACTCTTGCTTCTACTGGACTGATTGTGTAAGGTTGATCACACTCACCCTTACAAAAAGAAAAACCAACCATGATCTAGACTTCGGTAGCTGCCTAATTCTTCTTTATCTTGTGTGCTTTGTATTTAGACCACAAGTATGACAGAGACCTAAGAAAGGAGACACTAAATGTTACCTCTTTTTCAGGACAGGAAAATTATATCCCTTCTATTACCACCCCTCCAGCAAAAAGCCAACAAAAATTGCTTAAAGAAGGGAAGAGATGTGAGAAATTGTAGGCTTCAAGTAAAGTTGCTACTGTTCTTTAATAAGCGGGGGCAAAAATTTCAAAAAATAATAAAGGTTGCAAAAGATTTTGGTGGACAAAGACTCTGCGACTAGAAGAAATTCTCTAGTCTCCACTCTTTAACTTGTTTTAGAATGCCAGTATTAGGGGGAAAAAAAGAAGAAATCCTGCAAATAATTATATTCTTCTTTTAAAGTAAGCCACTGAGTTTGAAATTCTCTAACACATTTGTGGAAACTTCATTTTTTTTTTGTTTTAGATTTATTTGAATGAGCTGTTATGATTGGAGACAGTGAGAATTTCAGATTAATGTTCCGCAGCCAAAAAAAAAAAAAAAACCTCTGGAAAGCTGGCAAGTGTTCATAAGTCAGCCCTAGAATTATGTAGGTTGAAGGCTCCCAGTGGACAGACCGAATATATAAGAAGGAAACCAGAGATCTGGTGCTATTACGTCCCTGAGACTAAGGGAACGAATAAGCACAGAATTCAAAGCATTCTTCAGCTTGAATTTTTAAGGTAGGTCTGCACAATTTATATATACTCTATTTGGAAAGTAGAACATACATTAAATAAAAATATTTTTAATGGATGAACTTTCCCTTTTCCTGTATTTTAACACTGTATTTTGCAAAACTCCTAAATTATTTAACTGCTGTTTCTCTTACAGGGGTGCACTTAGAAACTAGGCATGCTGATTTATGATAACTAAGGTTTAAACTCCAACAACCAGTAAGTCTTCAAGTGGGTTTATTTTAGATTCTTTCATGTTAATTTGTTAGGTCAAGATTATGAGAGAATGAGCTTTAGACAAAAATGGTAACTTTGCTGTTTATTAAGAGATTCTTTTGTGGCTAGGTTTTTCATTGAGTAGTTTATTTGTATGTATTTTTGAAACTATCTAAAAGAATAGTCTTTCCCTGACTGTGTTTATCTTCAGCTAATTTTCTTTTGTTTTAAAATAATGTTGCTACTAAAAAAAACAGTATCATAAAAACCTGAACATTAATTATAACACTTGAGAGCCATGTAGCAATGTTACTACTTAGTTGTGTTAAACTGAAAAGATAGCAAAAGAAAAATGGTACAGTTATATCATGATTAATCATTGATGTTCAATTCTTATTTCACTGAGCAATCAAAACTATTTCTACCTGACCCTAAATCAGATTTGGCTGTTTTTTTCTTTTCCTTTTAATAGTTGAAAAATAAGTGGATTTTCTTTAAAATGGATTAAACTTAAATATTTGTATCTAAAACTAGTAGTCTCTATTAAAATGTGAACAGGAGACTTTTGGAAATATGCATATTTCATAACTTCCTCTTAATTATATTATTATTGTGAAAACAATGGAAAAGTAGAACCAAAGGAATTATTTTTAATTAGTAAAACCCAGCCATAATCCCCCATCCCAATACGTTCCTTTTGCATGTTCTCTTTCAATCTTTTGTAGATTTATTTTTTCCATAGCTTATGTTATTTACATTTTCCCTAGCTGTAATGATTTGTGTATAATTAGTTACTTGAAAAAGACATTTCTCTATGCAATAGCAAGCAGCAGTGTGGTTTCTAGAAAGTATACAGACTGAGATATGTGCTCAAGTGTTTTGAAATATTAACTTTTCTAATTTTTTGGTTCATTCTTATTTGTTTCACACATTTCCTATCCTGGCTAACCTTTTGATTTATTAATTTTCCTTAAACCTTTTGAAAATATGATAGAAAAGATGGGCAAAATGTAGTTTTGTTTAGAATTTTCCATCTCTGATGCTGAAATGTCTTAATATGTTGGTACTACTGAGAAAATTCTCTTTTCTTCAAGAAGTAAAATTCATTCTTATTTCACATGGCAAGGTTCTGTTTTGTAATTTTTTCTATAATCACTCACCTTTTTTGCTTTCCACAAACTTTCAAAATGCTAATGACTCAATGAAATCCTAAACTCAGTATGTCTTCTGAGAGTTCCATTTTCTTTTTTCCACAGAAGGTGTAAGAATTAGGTGCTGCTGACATTTCAACATGAAGGGCAACTTCACTCTTGCCACCATCAGCAGAAACATTACCAGCAGTCTTCATTTTGGGCTTGTGACCATCTCTGGCAATGAGTCTGCCTTTAACTGCTCACATAAGCCATCAGATAAGCATTTAGATGCAATTCCTGTTCTCTACTACATTATTTTTGTGATTGGGTTTCTTGTCAATACTATTGTGGTTACATTGTTTTGTTGTCAAAAGGGTCCTAAGAAGGTTTCCAGCATTTACATCTTCAATCTGGCTGTGGCTGACTTACTGCTTCTGGCTACTCTTCCTCTCTGGGCAACCTATTATTCTTACAGATATGACTGGCTCTTTGGACCTATGATGTGTAAAGTTTTTGGTTCTTTCCTGACCCTGAACATGTTTGCGAGTATTTTTTTTATCACTTGTATGAGTGTTGATAGGTACCAGTCTGTCATCTATCCCTTTCTGTCTCAAAGAAGAAATCCCTGGCAAGCATCTTATATAGTTCCCCTTGTTTGGTGTATGGCCTGTCTGTCTTCATTGCCAACGTTTTATTTCCGAGATGTCAGAACCATTGAATACTTAGGAGTGAATGCTTGCATTATGGCTTTCCCACCTGAGAAATATGCTCAATGGTCAGCTGGGATTGCCTTAATGAAAAATATCCTTGGTTTTATTATTCCTTTAATATTCATAGCAACGTGCTATTTCGGAATCAGAAAACACTTACTGAAGACCAATAGCTATGGGAAGAACAGAATAACCCGTGACCAAGTCCTGAAGATGGCAGCTGCTGTTGTTCTGGCGTTCATCATTTGTTGGCTTCCCTTCCATGTTCTGACCTTCCTGGATGCTCTGGCCTGGATGGGTGTCGTTAATAGCTGTGAAGTTATAGCAGTCATTGACCTGGCACTTCCTTTTGCCATCCTCCTGGGATTCACCAACAGCTGCATTAATCCCTTTTTGTATTGTTTTGTTGGAAACCGGTTCCAACAGAAGCTCCGCCGTATGTTTAGGGTTCCAATTACTTGGCTCCAAGGCAAGAGAGAGAGAGTGTCGTGCCGAAAGAGCAGTTCCCTTAGAGAAATGGAGACCTTTGTGTCTTAAACATGAGAGTGGAATGCATGTTATCAACACGGCTACTTGGTTTGAGGTCCCCTTGAATTATCTTTTAATGGCTTCAGTAAAATAATGTTTTTTTCCCTTAATGTAATCTTTTCTCACTCTTCTAGAACAGGGAACCAAATGTAACTGTAAGTTTTATCCTCCAGTGACGTTCAGGAATTGCCTAATTTTTTTCTGATCAATCAGTACAAGACTGCCACTGGGGAGACATATTCATAACCTAGAAGTAACTAGGGGTTGATCTCAAATTATAATTAATAACAAATTGTGAATTGTGATTTGGGGTTTCAGATTTCTCCTTGACAAATGCTGGAGTTTTTGTTTACTGATTTTTATATTCATTTTCATCAGGCTTTCTTCTTGAACCAAGGCCAGTCTCTTAACTTGTTGCGTTATTTACAAGGCGTCATGCTAAGAGACATGAGCACTTCTAAGTGAACTTTACTACAATAGATTGGTACCAGATTATTCAGGCTCTAGCCACATGCCTTCTACTTTAAAAAATATTATAAATAATAATCCTTTTACATTTCACTTGAGCATAGGTTTATATTTAAGATATAGCTACAGATTGAGTAGGGCTAGGAATATAGATAAGATCACGTGTACTCCTACATTTTAGCTTATTTTTACAGTTATTGAAAGTAAAATGTATAGTAACATAGATATATAATTAACAAATATTGTGTTCACTAAACTCTGAATAAGCACTTTTTAAAACTTTCTATCCATTTTAACTGTTGTTTAAAGGTTTCTATGTTCTCTGTTAATTTTTTGATAACAATAACTAAACACTGTGTAGTGTTATAAAATGTAAAGGTCACTTTTTACATCCTTGACCTTTTGGATGTGGTGCTTTGATATATAATAAGTTGACTTGACTTTTATTATTGATGCTTTGGTTCTGAATTGCTTCCCAAAATATCTGGGTGGCTTCTATAACTCTTTAACTTGTAATAAACCTTTAACTGGCATAGGAAAAGTTATGCCAGAACAGAATTTTGATGCTCAAGGAGGACAAAGAGATCAGCAAATGACAAGTTTGGTGTCATGCAAAAATCCTTCTTGTCAGGGCACTGCAATGTGGCTTTGAAAATATAGACCATAGGGCAGTCTTAACATATATCTATGGATGCTGTTTGTTCCAGAATTTATAGGATGCTGTGGAACTCTTTTAAACCAGTTGCTGGTCTATAGATCTCCTTCTCAACACTATTAGAACTCCTAAGTTAAAGGAGTACCTGAAACTGACTGAGTTACCTAGAGTTTACTTAGAGCATGATTGCTAGTTTTAGAAGTTAGAGATTTCATTCTGCACCAGCCCACGTAATAGCAGGTTATCTAGGACCTTCCTAGACCAATGCTGACCTCTGAGGTCGAAATAAAGTCTCGGAGGCTGAGTGACCCTGCCAGGTCCCAGGGCTATAGAACGAAGAATCCTCTTGATCTGCTTTCTGGGAAAATCTTAATATCATGTAATCTATTGTTATCGCTAAAAACAAATAGCTAAATGTATAACCAACTATGACTTCATATTTTAAATAGTTTTATTAAAATCTCATATAAATAAAACCTTTAATTGGAAGATCATGTGTGCTTATTTTTTTTTATTTTAACTACCTCCAAGTATAGAGTCTCACCTTCTCTTGTATCCGTTCCTCCTTATAGTCCTCCCTGATACTTCTCAACTCCAGCCCCCAGCATTCCTTATCTGGCTTCTTGCCATACTCTTCTAGTCTCCCGCTCTTGAGTCTTCAGCTGTAATTTCCTGCTAATTATGAAAGGAAAGTCCAGAGTTCTTATGATGGTCTACAAGACCGTGGGAGATCGGATCCTTCCTGCCTCTCTGGCTTTTCCTTCTCTCTGCCGTCTCTCTCCTGCACTCTGTTCAATCATCACGAAAACGCTTACTACTTTTTTAAGCCCTAATGCTCTTTTATGCCTCTCTGCTTTTGGTCACACAGCTCTGTCTTCTTGGACATACCTCCAATCCCCCCCCCCACCCCCTAGGGTCTCTCATTTAATTGATGAACACCTATTCAGCTTTCAACATTCAGCTCATGTCAGTTCTCCTACCGCAATAATTATTATTATACTAATTATAATACTACCCCCCCACACCCCAAGAGTTCCCTTATTGAAGAGAATTGTTTCTCTAGCACTTAGGATTTTAAGTCTGGCCTCCACTTTTATAGGAATCCAGTATTGAGCCCTGAGTAATTCTCTAAGGCTTGGATTAGAGTGGTCTTTCCTGGGACTAAGGAGAAATGTCAGTTGAGAAGATGGTGCGTGAACATGTGAACTCTGATTGCAGGAATGTACAGAGGTATAAATGTCCTCTTTTCTCTTTGAAAGTGTAAATCTCAGGTATGCTTCTCAGATAGCAAATGAAACTGTATTCTTCTCATTTGGCCACATTTTTGGATATTACATAATCCCCTTTCTTTTCCATGATCCCACCTTTTTTACCTCACCTACACAATGCCCAAGAACTACGTAATAATAACAACAATAGCCCCTATTAGGTAAGCATTATATTCTATAGACTAAGTATTTTATATGCATTATCTCATTTTATTCCCGCAATGACTCAGTTATTCTCATTTTACAAATAAGGAAACTGAGGCACAAATGAATTTCTACTAGTTTTTAAATTTGGCTCTGACAGATAATCTGGGTTATCCCAATAGCAGTATTTAGTAGTTTAAATATGAATCCTAGGCTGCCAAGCAGATATTTCAGAGGCTGTCTTGCACAGTTCTCCAACCCTCCCCCCAAACTTCACTGCTGGCGCGGCTCTGACCACAGCAATACGAGAGCTCTGGGCAGGTGGTATATTTGCAGCTGTGGAGAAAGAGAGAGGAGGCAGATGGATGAGGCTTTCTCCCTGGTTCTCCACTGCCGTTTTCTTGTGCTCCATGCTGTACGGAGCTACACGAAGTAACTACGACCCCTTTCTGCCCCCTCCACCCCATAGACAAAGCAAGATCGACATCTCAAACACTTCTTTTGAGGAACAAAAATGTTGACATGAGCTTTAGCTCTGTGAAAAAGAATTATATAAGGTTAGCAGAGAAATTCATCTGTTGCAATTTACAGAGTGAATATATGCATTTTTATTATGGAAAGGCAAGTATTATTTGTACACTTTATATCCTTAAATTAGATCTATTAAATAGAATGTCTTGGAAAAATCTTCTTTTTTCTGATTTTTTGAGGTCTGTATCAAAATGAGAGGACAATCTGAAGGAAAGCACATTCTATTTTGACTTTTCCTTTTTTTTCCCCCACAGAAATCTGAGAGTGGGAAACTGTTTGGTGGCCTCACATATGAACAAAAGAAAAATCCAAACTTGACAAGCTGAATTAACACATGAAGTGACTGAAGCAAGAAAGGATTGTGGTTGATAGTAAGAAAAATGTAGCACTTAATTATTTTGTTAATTCTTAGATAAACTATATCAGCAATGATGATTCACTCAAATAACAGAAATTCATATATCGTTAAAAACAATCACTTCTCCTGCAGAAGACCAGTGGCTTACAGCTGACTTGACTAGCTTTCTAGACATTGATGCTCACTTGCACAAACATACAATGAGATAACATCTTCAGAAAGAAAATTCTTTTCAAAATTCTTCTGGGATGAGAGAATTCTTTTGAAAATTAGAAATAATTGATATGTATTTCTTATTAAGAATTAATACTTTCTCATTGTTAAAAAATGTAACTATATAGATAAAAATTAACCACAGAGATAATCAGTTGGTAGCCTGGGGTAAGATTATTGATATAAATATAGACACAGATACATATATATACTCTTTATTTTTATTTCTTTATCCATACCCATATTTATTTCTCTTTTCATCTATTATCTATTGGATATATCTTTCACCACCTTGTGGTAGAGATCTTTTAATATTTAAAATATTTTGATCTCACACTTCCATTTGGTTTACTAGAAAATATTCTTTCTTCTCTGTTGGGTCCTCGTTTCCTATGATAAATCCCAAATCCTCAGGTGTTTAAGCAAACCATGATATTACACCCGATTACCATTGCGCAGTGGGGGAAAATCTGATAAAACCACTGGCCCACTTTCTGCAGCTGTTCTTGTTACGTTATTTATCAGTCGGTTCATGTGAGAACAGATGGTTCGGTAGTCTAGGGCAGAGTCCTGTCCACTTAAAAGAGTTCTAGGTACAAGCCATCCATTAAGGGTGCAAGAGAAAGAAAAAGGAAGTCTCTTGCCCCAGTGTTACACTCACCTATATCTGATGCATGCCACAGTAGACCAGGTCTCAAACACATCTTTATTTCTTTTGGCGTCTCCATGGAGCCAGGAGGGATCAGCAGAAATCCAGTAGAGGGAACATGACATGCAGGAACCAGCCCCCTCCTTTCTTAAAGGAAACATTCTTGTGCAGTTGGAGTCACAGTTCAAACCTCTTCTCAATAAAAATGAATATCCTTGCTTGGGGGAGGGGCTGGGGAATGGGGCTGATGTTCCTTCTTGATTGATGACACTAGTAAGTGACACTTAAGTGCATAAGATACATTGTGATAACTTTGAACTTCTTAGAAAAAGGGTCTAGTACTTCATTTCCTTCCTCTTAGAAGGCCTTTTTGCCAGTTGCCTCGTCCCCAAAAACCCCAAGCCCAATATACCAGTATGAATGGGATACAGTTGGCACAGCTCCATTTGCCTGAAAAATTGAAATCATGAGATTGCTGCCAAACCCCAGATTTCCAGTTGTAGCCTTCTCTCTGAATAATGGGTCCCTACTTACTCTATATCCATTACCACTGCAATGATCATTTCCACATCAAACAAAATCCACTTCAGTGTTTCTTGCTATCTTAACAACTTGAAATATTTGTGGATAATAGTTTGCAATCATCTCACTGGGTATGCTAATATCCTATTGTTGAGTACTGAATTGTGTCTCCCCAAAATTCATATGTTGAAGCCCTAACTCTGAATGAGACTGTATTTGGAGATAGAGCTTTTCTTACTGCCCAAGGTGGTGGTGGTGGGGGCGGTCGTCTGGTCATCTGCCTGCTGCAAGACGTGCCAATAGTTAGGAGTCAAGGTGGTAAGAGAGAAAGGACTTTATTACAGCTTGCTAGCAAGGAGGAAGATGGTCAACCAATGTCAGAAAGAACCATCTTACAGAACAAAGACTACAGGCCAGTTATATAGGGGGCTGGTCTCCAGGTGAGGGAGGCATCTGGTCTCTGGGTAGGGGTATCCATCTGATCTCCGGGTGAGGGCAGTCATCTGGTCTTAGTCCCTGATAGGCCTTTGTTTTACTGGATATGCATCAGAGACCAGAGCAACTCCCTATACCCTGATCTTTCTGTTGTCATTGATGATGGCTACCTGCATAGACTCTGCCCAGGAGCCATCTCTTACCTAAGGAACTCAAAAGAACAAAGTTATCAACTTATAGCAGCTGAGGGGGGGCCACAAAATCTAGAGTGTGTCTGGTTTAGTTAATCAGAGGTCATTCCAAATTACAACATGGGTTCTTTTCTACAATGTGGTTTCCCTTATGTTAACTTTGTGTTGAGCCGCTATCACTCAAAGGAAGTAATTAAGGTTAAATGAGGTCATAAGGATAGAGTCCTAATCTGATAGGACTGGTGGTCTTATAAGAAGAGGAGGAGCTCTCCCCTCTCTCTCTTCCTCTCTCTTTCTCTCCCCACATGCATACACCAAGGAAGGTTGTGTGAGTACACAGTGAAAAGGTGGCTGTCTGCAAGCGAGGAAGAAAGTTCTCATCAGAACCTGACCATGCTGGCACCCTGATCTCAGACTTCCGGCCTCCAGAACTATGAAAAAATAAATTTCTGTTGTTTAAATCACTAAGTCTATAATATTTTGTTATGGCAGCCCCAGCAGATTAATACAGATCTTGGTACCGAGAGTGGTTCTAGAGGAACAGAATTTTAAGGATGAATTTTCTGAATTGCTTCTAGGGTTTCTAGAATTGGCTGTCCAATCTGATTAGTTTTAAAGAAGCTAATGACTCCATTTCTAGTAGTAGAGAGCTCACTGATTGTCCGTAGCATGATCTAGCAATGTATATGTAGAAAATATCACCATGGATATTCTTAAGCAACCACTTATAAGAAGCAAGGAGCTGGGTGACTGTGTATAATATACTTTCTAACATTTTTGGCAAACTAGTGAATATAATGAGATTAACTAGTTGTTCCTAATGTTGCGGGACAAAGTGAGAAAAGGATGAGCTCAGAGATTTGAATTCCCGGTTCAAGTGCTGCATAAATCACCTGAAAGCTTCTAGGTGTGCCTTGAAGGAAATCCTTATCCCCTGTAGCCTCAGGGCTGAGACTCGGAAAGTCAAATGCATAATCTCTTCCTTCAATTGGCTGAATTACAATGCAAATTGAACTCCCAGCCTCACAGAGGTCTGTGGTTAAAGTGAGGACATTGATTGGAAAAGAATGAGAGCCTGTAAATTGGAATGGGGGTGTGTGGGAAGACCTTGATGAA